CACCCAGGATGTGACCCACACCAGTCCACTAACACCCAGGATGCGACCCACACCAGTCCACTAACACCCAGGATGCGACCCACACCAGTCCACTAACACCCAGGATGCTACCCACACCAGTCCACTAACACCCAGGATGTGACCCACACCAGTCCACTAACACCCAGGATGCGACCCACACCAGTCCACTAACACCCAGGATGCGACCCACACCAGTCCACTAACACCCAGGATGTGACCCACACCAGTCCACTAACACCCAGGATGCGACCCACACAAGTCCACTAACACCCAGGATGTGACCCACCCCAGTCCACTAACACCAGGATGCGACCCACACAGTCCACTAACACCCAGGATGCGACCCAAGCAGTCCACTAACACCCAGGATGCGACCCACACCAGTCCACTAACACCCAGGATGCGACCCACACCAGTCCACTAACACCCAGGATGCGACCCACACCAGTCCACTAACACCCAGGATGCGACCCACACCAGTCCACTAACACCCAGGATGCGACCCACACCAGTCCACTAACACCCAGGATGCGACCCACACCAGTCCACTAACACCCAGGATGTGACCCACACCAGTCCACTAACACCCAGGATGCGACCCACACCAGTCCACTAACACCAGGATGTGACCCACACCAGTCCACTAACACCCAGGATGTGACCCACACCAGTCAACTAACACCCAGGATGCGACCCACACCAGTCCACTAACACCCAGGATGCGACCCACACCAGTCCACTAACACCCAGGATGTGACCCACACCAGTCCACTAACACCCAGGATGCGACCCACACCAGTCCACTAACACCCAGGATGCGACCCACAGCAGTCCACTAACACCCAGGATGCGACCCACACCAGTCCACTAACCCCCAGGATGCGACCCACACCAGTCCACTAACACCCAGGATGCGACCCACACCAGTCCACTAACACCCAGGATGCTACCCACACCCGTCCACTAACACCCAGGATGTGACCCACACCAGTCCACTAACACCCAGGATGCGACCCACACCAGTCCACTAACACCCAGGATGTGACCAAAACCAGTCAACTAACCCCCAGGATGTGACCCACCCCAGTCCACTAACACCCAGGATGCGACCCACACCAGTCCACTAACACCCAGGATGCGACCCACACCAGTCCACTAACACCCAGGATGCGACCCACACCAGTCCACTAACACCCAGGATGCGACCCACACCAGTCCACTAACACCCAGGATGCGACCCACACCAGTCCACTAACACCCAGGATGTGACCCACACCAGTCCACTAACACCCAGGATGCGACCCACACCAGTCCACTAACACCCAGGATGCGACCCACACCAGTCCACTAACACCCAGGATGTGACCCACACCAGTCCACTAACACCCAGGATGCGAGCCACACCAGTCCACTAACACCCAGGATGTGACCCACACCAGTCCACTAACACCCAGGATGCGACCCACACCAGTCCACTAACACCCAGGATGCGACCCACACCAGTCCACTAACACCCAGGATGCGACCCACACCAGCCCACTAACACCCAGGATGTGACCCACACCAGTCCACTAACACCCAGGATGCGACCCACACCAGTCCACTAACACCCAGGATGAGACCCACACCAGTCCACTAACACCCAGGATGTGACCCACACAGTCACTAACACCCAGGATGCGACCCACACCAGTCCACTAACACCCAGGATGTGACCCAACCAGTCCACTAACCCCCAGGATGCGACCCAACCAGTCCACTAACACCCAGGATGGGACCCACAGCAGTCCACTAACACCCAGGATGCGACCCACACCAGTCCACTAACACCCAGGATGCGACCCACACCAGTCCACTAACACCCAGGATGCGACCACACCAGTCCACTAACACCCAGGATGCGACCCACACCAGTCCACTAACACCCAGGATGCGACCCACACCAGTCCACTAACACCCAGGATGCGACCCACACCAGTCCACTAACACCCAGGATGTGACCCACACCAGTCCACTAACACCCAGGATGCGACCCACACCAGTCCACTAACACCCAGGATGTGACCCACACCAGTCCACTAACACCCAGGATGTGACCCACACCAGTCCACTAACACCCAGGATGCGACCACACCAGTCCACTAACACCCAGGATGCGACCCACACCAGTCCACTAACACCAGGATGTGACCCACACCAGTCCACTAACACCCAGATGCGACCCACACCAGTCCACTAACACCCAGGATGCGACCCCCCAGCAGTCCCCTAACACCCAGGATGCGACCCACACCAGTCCACTAACACCCAGGATGCGACCCACACCAGTCACTAACACCCAGGATCGACCCACACCAGTCCACTAACACCAGGATGCGACCACAGCAGTCCACTAACACCCAGGATGCGACCCACAGCAGTCCACTAACACCCAGGATGCGACCCACACCAGTCCACTAACACCCAGGATGCGACCCACACCAGTCCACTAACACCCAGGATGCGACCCACAGCAGTCCACTAACACCCAGGATGCGACCCACACCAGTCCACTAACACCCAGGATGCGACCCACAGCAGTCCACTAACACCCAGGATGCGACCCACACCAGTCCACTAACCCCCAGGATGCGACCCACACCAGTCCACTAACACCCAG